GTGAGGGCCATTAACTCTGTCCTGCTACACAGGGTCATCTGCCTTGGAGACCTGGGCCCGATCGTGGCTGGATTTGCTGCCCTGGGCTTCCCCAACTGCAGAGGAGCAACTGATGGGACCCCCATTCCAATCCATGCACCACTGCATCGAGCCACCTAGTACATTAACAGGAAGGGCTATTTCTCCATGGTGCTGCAGGCCCTGGTCGATCACCGTGGACAGTTTCTGGACATTTTTGTCAGATGGTCAGGCTGGGCACACAATGCCTGCATATTCAGGAACTCTAGCCCCTACCACAAGCTGGAGGTTGGCACATTCTTCCCCCAGCAGGACTTTCGCATGGGGGGCTTACAGATGCCACTGTGCATCATTGGGGACACAGCCTACCCACTAATGCCATGGCTCAAGAAGCCCTACACTGGCCACCCGGACCCCACCAGGGAACAATTCAATGTGCACCTCAACCAGGCCCACATGCAGATCAAATGCGCCTTCGGGCACCTCAAGGCCAGGTTCAGGTGCTTCCTGACCCGCCTTGAACTGGGGGAGCGCAACATCCCCTGTGCCTTGACCCCCTATACCTTTCCCACCATAACCCCTCCCTGCCCTCTTCCCTGTACAATCAATAAAAACAACAGTTGTGAGTTGAACAATGAAAACTTTGTACATTTTTTAACAAAAAAATAACTGGGGAGGACGGGGCCTGAGAATCTGGATGGAGGAGTGAAGAGGTGGGATCAGGGCAGTGACTTGCACGTGGTGTGGCTGCAAGTGCCGCCTCGGGTCTGGGGACCTCGATGAACTCAGGGTTGGGTGGGGTCAGGTCTGGCGGGGAGGCAGGGTGGAGGGGGTATGGGTATGGCAGGGGGACCGGGAGTGGGGAGGGCTAGAGTGGGGACCGAAGCCGGGTGTGCCATCACTTTCCAGATGGCGGCACGCATGTTTTTGCCCTGCCGCATGTTGCATCACTCGGCGGCATCACGGACCTTTTGGGCCAGGGTTTGCTGCATGTCGCTCAAGACTGTCACTTGCTCCCTCATGAGGTCCTCGTGGACCCTACAGCTCTTGCGGCTCTCCTGGGGTCAGACGGCTGCCTGTGATGGCATGGATTGCCCCTCAGTGACATCTGGTCCAGCTGTGGAGAAAAAGAGGGAGAAGCAGTCAGTCATCCACGCAGACATTGTCCCTGAGGCTGTGCCCTCCTCTGTGAGCACCGAGCAACTGTCCTTGGTGTAGGGGACGGTGATGTCCCGAGAGCAAGGCCATGTGTGGCCTGCACAGCAGGCCCTGCCTCACAGGGGCCCCGAGGTGCCCAGGGGACTATGCTGCCTGCTTCTCCTACCCAACTGGACAAGCAGGCCAGGGAAGTGTGCGGCCACAGTGGGATCCTATGTCCGGGAGAAGGACCTGGAGCGGCCTGGCCCTCCCTCGGTCCCGCACACACACCTGCACCTAGCAGCGCTGTCTGCAGGAGTAGGTGATGCCTCGCATGGGCAGGCATGGCCGTGTGCTATGTGCGGCACTCCTCAGTCTGTGTGGGGTCATATGTGAGCCCTTGTGCCCAGCCTGCTTCCCACGGTGGCTGGTGGGGGTAGGACGTCCCTCCCAGGGGGCAGATTTGTGTGGGGCCTCACCCCAGCCTGTGAGCAGCTGCCCATGTGTGCTCTGGGGCTGGCTCCTGAGACCACGTAGTGCACACTGCTGCTGCACAGGCTTGCACGTGCATGGACAGCAGCACTCTGTCCAGGCCAAGCCTGCTGAGCAACAATCACACCCCATCCTCTCTGAGCCCACTTCCCCCACCCCGTGTGTGTGACAACATGAGAGCACTCACCTGGTGATCCATCCCCAGTGTCAGATGATGCCTGGGAGATCTCCAGGACCTGGGGTTCCAGCTCCAGGCTGAGCGTGATGACACTGCCAGTGTCCTCCTGCTGCAGCTGTTGTTCGTCATCGTCATCGTCCTCCTCCTCCTCCTCATGGAGCTCCAGGCAGGTGAGCACAGGTGTCTCCAGGCCCGAGTCCACTAGTATGGACTCTAGTGGTGCAGCTCTTTGTAGTAGGGGCAGGAGTGGGGTCCTGCCCTGGAGCGAGTGCTGCGTTCCCTGGCCCAGGCGTACCCTTGCTGGAGCTCCTTCACCTTGCTCCGTACTTGGTCCAAGCTGTGGGGATGGTGTTCTCTCTGGGCCAGAGCTTCGACCATGCACCCATAAACGTCCGCATTATGCCTCTGGGAGCACAGATCCTGCGTTGTTTCTTCCTCGCCCCACAGCTCAAGGAGGCACAGGATCTTTGCCCCAGATCTGGAGGGCACCCAATGTTTGGTGCCCTTGAGTGGGTCCTCAGAGCCCTGGTGCTGCTCTCTGTGCGGGCCAGAGGAGTCTTGGGGGGGCTTGTGGCTGTGCCATACGTCAGCAGGCCTTCAGCAGTCAGAGCCATGCAGTCAGGGTGCTGCTCCCAGGCCAGCTTCCTGCCACAAGGCTAGTTCAGGGTGCCTGCAACTTTAAGAGCTGGCAGGAGACAAACTATAGAGCTGTGATTAGTTTGGATGGAGTGTCCATCAGGGTACCTGTACTTTTTCCTGGAGGCCTCCCTCTTCCACGTCCATACACGCCTCTTTCGGAAAAGGTGTTCTTCTTCATAGAATTAGGTTTACCAATATTGGAAAAACCCCTGTGTTCTTTCAATTTTCTTTTGAAGAACGCAACAGCAGTGTTTGTGAAGTTTTTTCGGAAAAACGGCTGTTTTTTCTGAAAAAAGCCTGCAGTCTAGACGCACCCATAGAATAAAAAACAACCAAAGAATTTCTAAAATAAGGATGTTAAGGACTAGTCGATTCTCCCCCCTTGCCTGCTGCCTACATCAGATAGAGGCACCAACGGGTGGGGGGGAGGAAGAGAGGGTACTTCAAAGCAGCAGTGCCGCACAGCTTAGCCCAGGATCAGCTGTTCAGCACTACCACTTTGAAATGCCCCCCACTGATCCCAGGCTCCATGAGGGTGCTTCCACTCTGAAATGCACAAGAGCCCTGGATGGGGACTCTAGAACATTTCAAAGCTGGCACACCCACATGCAGCCCAGAGTCAGTGGGACTTCCCACTGGCCCCAGGGTGCACACGGAGTTCCACATTCCTCCTTTGAAATGTACAAGAACCCACACTGGGGCCTTTGTACATTTCAAAAAGAGGAATATAGAAATGCCTATCAACTAGTCGAGGGAAATTCCATCGACTACTCAACTAGTAAATTAACCAATATTTAACATCCTTAGTCTAAAATGAATCAAAGTAAATCCATATCTATATCTAACACGGCTACCCCTCTGATACTTGACTCCATATCTATACAAATCCAACTCAAAACCTAAATGAAAAGGACAGCCCACATCACTAACTTTGTATGAGAATGCAAAATAAAGTTTATATGGTAAATAAGAAATGTTTAATTCCCTACAGAGAGTATTCCTAAAAATGTTAATAAGGAAAGTATAGCTACCTTCATTCTGCTTCTCTAAAGAAATCTGATCCCCAATCACTCAATCAATAATGGGGGGGAGGGAACTTCCTTCAAAGGCAGACAAAAACAAACCTCAGAATGTAAAATCCTTCTAAACTCCCAGGGCAAGGCTGAAGGGATAAGTCCCTGCCACTATGCCAAGCAGCAGGCACCCATGCCAGCATCTTGTGAAAGAGATCCAGTTAGGGTAATCCCGACCTGGGACACACATGCTTCCCCAGACTACCATAACCACAGGGGAAATCAGGACCAGTATTACAAATGTGGTTAGGAAGGGCACTCCATAAAGACTGTCCCTACATGAAATGTTATTATAGAATGTTCTGTGTAGCTAGAAAAACAGGACCAGAAGCAGAGCCCAGAGAAACTACTGGTCAAGTGAAAGTGGGAGGGATTGCAACAACCACTTTAGTTGATTCAGGCTGTAGACAAATAATCATCTGGGAGGAACTTCTCTCTGGCCTCATATATTCCAGGGACATGATACAGTTAGAGTATATTCTTGGGGACGCCCGACCCTACTCAACTGCCCGGGTAAACTGGAGATATGCAGTTGAGAGGAGGTCTTTCATGTGGGAATGCCCACCACTCCCGGCCGCTGGCTTATCTGGTGATATTAGGACAAGACTGGCCAATGTTTGGGAAAACCCTAAAATTGACCTATGCGAGAAGACTGAAAGAAATGGATTTGTTTAGTTTAGAAAAGAGAAGACTGAGAGGGGACACGATAGCTGTTTTCAAGTATCTGAAAGGGTGTTACAAGGAAGCGGGAGAAAAATTGTTCTCCTTGGCCTCTGAGGATAAGACAAGAAGCAAAAGCCTTAAATTGCAGCAAGGGAGATTTAAGTCGGACATTAGGAAAAACTTCCTGTCAGGGTAGTTAATCTCTAAAATAAATTGCCTATGGAGGTTGTAGAATCTCCATGACTGGAGATATTTAAGAGCAAGTTGGATCAACATCTATCAGGGATGATCTAGATGGTGCTTTGTCCTGCTGTGAAGGCAGGGGGCTAGACTTGATGACCTCTCGAGGACCCTTCCAGTTCTAGTATTTTATGATTCTATGAATCATTTGGACACTTTTGAAAATCCTACCTTTTTTTAATGTATATCTCCTGAGTATGTGTTTTTCAGATAGGGATGCAATTAGTATTGATTTTTAAAATATTAAGTTTATATTAGTTTCTACTGATCTTGTGTTTTGTGTTCTGAAGGTAGCTCAGTATGAAAGACGAAGTTGTGGTAAATTTATAATGAAGAAAACCGATTTCCTTATTTTCAAATGATCTTAAATCATGTTTTGTGAAAGAGCTCAGTAGCCAACGAGTATCTACACAAGCAAAGCAAGCAACATGCACAAATGTATGTGAGGAAGGGAAGACCTATGAAATTAATACCTATTGTATCCTTCCTGGTATGATCTGCATTAATATCAGAGTAAAGCAACACTGAAGAAAATAAATTAACACATTAGCAAATCTTACCTGTCGAATTATACTTTTTACACAACGGATAGGAAGGCCTTGATAGTTGGACTTGATTATCCATTTTAAGAGATGATGTCCAAGAACTTCAAAGACCATGCAAACATCTTATTTTTAAATAAGGATAATTTTCCAAGTAACTTCTTATTTAGCTCAACCATAACCCTTTTTTACACTTCAGCTCAAGTGTTCATTGTCCCTCTATAAAAACAGTCCTCATATAGGATAAGGTGAATCAGGGTGACCATGCTCAGCCCTACAGACCAGAGCAATAGGCTGGTGCAGCATTCCTGGAAGTGACATATTCATCACTTTTGCCCTGGAGCCTGCACTGCTCCAGGACATACCTACTCATGGGGTTGGGGAGCAACTAATCATCATCCTCTTTCTAACAGCCCTTAATATATTTGAAGACTTATCAGGTTCATGCTTAGGCTTCTTTTCTTAAGACTAAACATGACCATTTAAAAAAAAAAAAACCACTTCAACACAGATTACATTTCTAAACCTTTTTATAATTGTTATTGATCTAATCTAGAATCTCTTGAGTTACAGGTTGGACCTCCCTCATCCAGCACCCTCAGGACCTGACCAGTCCCAAATGAGGGATTTTGCCGAACCAGGGGAGGTCATTTTATGGACCCCTGCCACCAGCCCATCTGGACCGATCGCTGGCCTCCCAGCCAACTCCCCACCTCCTGCTGGCCCCACTACCCTGCTGACCCTATTGGGAATCCATTAGTGCCGTGGATCTAGGAACAACAGAGCAGCTGCACATGCTGTGCTGGGGCTATGGGAACCCAGGGCAGCCACACGTGTTGCAATGGGATTCCAGGATCCACAGGGCAGCTGCACACCGCAGCTCCCAACCCCGCTGGGCATCCCCACTGTCACACGCTGAGTGGCCCTGCCATCAGCTCACTGCAAGCAGCCCACTGCCCCATAGGGATTCATGCTACTTGCCCTCCACTGGGACACACTGGTCCTGAAACATCTGTGCGGACCATGTATGTTGCCAGACCAGAGAATCCTGATTAAGTTTCAACCTGTGCAAGGAGCTCCTTACAGGGAAGCAATGTCTCTACAATATTAGAGATGATTGGTCTCATGGGTACTGAAACTTCTATGGTATTGGCAGGAACATCATCAGTACTGGTGATTGTGACTGAGGGTATTGCTGGTGCCAAGAACAAAATGGTCAAGCAGACAGTAGGTGATACCAAAGGTGCAGACAGCTTCCTTGGTGCCAAAGGCTTGCTTAACATGAAACATTTGGCTGGCACCAAGGGGTTGGTTGATGCCAAAGCACTCAATTATTTTAGTTGAGGGAGTCAGTACCAATTTCAAAAGTCTTGCGCTGTCCTTTCTGGTCCTGAATAGCAGCATGTCTGACTTTGGTCCTGATCAGTTAGGGTTCTTAGACCTTGCCTTCATGCTGGTAGTGAATGTGACTGGAATAGTTTAGCAGCACCAGAGAATCACCAAGAATATTAATGAGCACTGTTTCATTTTAGTGTCTCATTGAAAGATGTCAAAGTCTATCACATCCAGGTGTGCTGGCTGATATTTTCTCAATAACATTTCTCCAAAAAGAGAGATTAACATCTGGTAACTGGCTAACAGGACTGCATAATCAACAGGAGAAACTCCATGCACTTATACCTCTCAGTAGGAGATAAATACCTCCTTCTTCAGGAGCCAGCTCAGGATCTTCCCACTGGCCTTCATCAGACAGTAGGAACATATGCTCACTATCGCTCTGGGCTGGATTTCAACCAATGTTTTAGAAATAAATGGCTACAAAACCCTCTAATCTATCCATTCTTCCATGGTTAATATTTCCTATCCTTACTATATGGCTTTTCATCAGAATCGTTACAAATTTATAATTCTAAGCAGCATCATAAAGATTCAGTTACCAAGCATTTTTTTATTTGACACTCAGAATCCTTCCTCTAGCCTGTTACAGGAATTAAAGAACACTCCAGCCAATCAAATATTTTATATTAATAAACAATTTAAAGAATAGAAACAATATAATTAGTTGATTATTTTTCTTTAAGAGTGATTACCTCTTCTTTTTTAAGTTTCTCTCTATATATTAAAATAGTAACACACATTAGAATCTAATCTAATAATGTTTCAACATAAATTGCTTGCTTTTTAAAAAAAAAAATATTTTCCAGCCTACTCTAATTTAATGTACTTCAGAGTCCATTGCCATAATAATGGAGCACTGTACACTAACTAATGCACAACATGTTTCTTAATTATGTTATTTGGAAAGGTTAGAGAAACCATATATATAGATCACTAAGTAAAAATAACCCTGTCTTCTGATATTCTAGTGGGCAAGCCTGTCATCACAGAACAAATTTAAAATGTTTATCTATTTTTTATTCTCATTCCATTTAAAATTAAGCAGCTATTTTCGCTAGGGAAAGTGACTTACATTGTAATACAGTACATGATAAAATATCACTGTGATGGTCTTAAATTTTATTTTTAGAACAATTAGAGCAGGTTATTTTGAAAAACTCACTCCACTTTGCATACACAAAATCATTAATATATATAAACTAAACATTCATTTATCCCCGTTGTTTTAAGTAGTATAGCCACAAAAGGATACGTATTCCATTCATCCCTGAAATTTTGAAGTCATCAATTAACTGTACAACCATGTCTTTGTTTGGATCATTAGGATCACTTTCACGAACCTAAGCAAATAAAGAAGAAATTATAAATAATTATTCTTTTTAGAAAGGTAACATATTTTTTCTAAAAATTTAAACAAGATTATAAATCCTTATAAACAGTGACTCTGAAGTAATGAAATGTGACACATTTAGAAATCAGAGTTAGGGAAAATAATGATGTTCAAAAGGATTTAATACCATTATATCTATACATAGTTTACCATTATTAGTACTGAGCACTCAATGCTAAGATACTCACACATTTGAGCAACTTAATTTCATCCAAGGCTGTCTCTGTATAATGCTGGGCACTTTTTACAACTTTCATTGCAACAAACCTCTTCCCCCTTGAAAATAATAAAAACGTATTCAATAAATGACCAGATCTGAAAAACATTACAAAACATATTTCAGAGTATTGTATCTGAAAATTTTTGGTAATTTTATATTAAAATTAAAGGGAAACGCCAAATCTCTCAATAACACACGAGTTAAAATAGCTGACATAATTTATGTATTCGTACACAAAACAATACCCTTAAAACTGTATTTAATATACTGAGATAACAGAATTATTAATACTTTAAATGACAATGGCAGTAACAGAAGAATTTCAAATATCTCTTTTACCATTCAAACAAAATATAACGAGGTTCACTATTAAGGATACATAGGAATAAAAATATTAGCTTGCTCTCCAGCTCAAGAGAACATGTGAATTCAATAAGCAAGGATAATTTGTCAAGGAAAATAAAACCTCAACTTTTGACAAGTTTTATAAAATATATCTTTAAACAAACTGATAAACATCTATGGACATCTCTATATACAACTGTTTACCAAACAACAAGAGACACACAAAACACCCAGATAGCTTCAGCCTATGTCTAAAACAAAAGTTACTACACATATAACAAAATAACAAATCAGCATTAACTTGATAAAAATGGAAAAGAGAAAGTTTAACGGCAAATATATATGTAGATCTCTTACTGCATATCCCAGCATAGCCAGACTGTAGAGAAGTGTCCCCATCCTAGCTTCCTAATTACATGATATCGACCATTGAAAAGATCTCCAATTTTCACTGGATGATAGCCACCTTTCAAGAAAAATAATAAGTGGATTCAGAAATGTAAGCAGATACTTGTACTTACCTGTTTATTCTTTAATGCCAAAAATCTTTTAAAGGTATCCTAAACTATAAATCAGGAAATTTCAGTAAGTTTTTTTCTACAATTACAATATTTTGCCTCAAAAATGTCCTGCATCTTGTAAGTACATTTTTTACACCCTCTCTTGTGGAAAATGTGGAGATTTCTGTACTTCAGTGAAAATTGTATTCCTCTGTCTACCAGCTTGATATTGTCTATACAATTCCTCAGAGTTAAATCAAAGAAAGCTGTTAGGGGAAAACAAGCTCTAGACAAAACCTCCCAAAAGAATACCAAGAGTCCTCAAAAGAACTAGGAGAGGAGGGACATTATTAATTGGAAATGTCCTCCTGTCAGGCTAGCCGTTTTATTTTTCCCAGCATGCATAGGACCAAAGGGAACTAACATGTTAAAGACTCCAGCCTAGAGAGGAAAGAGTTGAGCAGCAGGGCAGTATCTGACAGAAAGACACAGAGGTGGGCAAGAGGCGGCTAGCAGGCCGGATCCGGCCCACCAAGCAACTAGGTCCTGCCCATGGCCACCACACCAGCATGCTCATTGGAGAGCAACTGCAGCTGCTGTAAACAGCAGGCTGCTAATTGCCATGCAGTTTGGGTAGAGAAGAAAAATCTTTGCACACTGTCCCTGCCCCCAGCAAAAGCCCTCAGCTCCCATTGGCCAGTTTCCAGCCAATAGGAGCTGAGAAATTATGCTGAAGGCAGAGGCTGTAAATGAAGCCTCTTCACTCCCCTCCCACTCCCTCCTAATGCTGCAGCAGAGCCACATGGAGCATCCCTAGCAGCACATAGGCAGGGATCCTATGTCAGGTTCCTGGAGCCTGGCTGGGAGCCACCTAGATAAGCATCTCCCAGCCAGAGCCTGTCTCTGCACCCCATCCTCTTCTTCCCCCCAACCACATCCTCCAGGCCACCACCCAAACCCTCTGTATCCCCTTTCCCCACCTCCTCCAGGTCAAAATTCCCTCACAGACCTTGCACACCCTCTTATACTCCTCCTCCAGACCAGAACCCTCTCCTGCACCCATAGCCCCTCCTGGACCCTGCACCCCAAGGCCCTGCCCCAGAGCATAACCCACTCCTTAACACAAACTCCCTCTCACACCCCACACTCCCTCCTGCACCCTAGTCCTCTACCCCAAGCGCCGTCCCAGACCCCACACTCCCTCCACAGAAGTGTGGCCTTTGACCACTTACCAAAATCTTGGAGTAGCCCCTCCCCTTAAAAATTATTGCCCACCCCTGCTATAGTCTATGCCACAAGTCCTACAGCAGCATGGATACAATGTTGTAGCTATGGTGCTATACCATGACAAGGCAGTGGCTGTCTGTCTCCCCTGGCCAGGGGTGTATAGGCTACGGAAATGAATGGTTAACCGATGAGCATCATAAGCATCACCCTCATCATGGTGACCTGTGCCACCCCTATTTAAATCAGTTAAACAGTTAAACATCACATTTAACTAATTAGCTAATTAAATGGAATTTTACATCCCTAGTCTAGGCTGAGTGGCACTTACCTAAAACTTGTAAGGAAAGAATGAAGTTTTAGTAAAATTCATATGTAGAGACCTTATTCATTATTTTAATACAAGACTATTTCATTCCTGTTAACTTATTGAACAATACTTTGTTTTAAAAGTCCGTAGTGTACCATTGAATATATTTTCTGGTCATAAAGTTCCCAAGTTGGAAGACTCCAGCAAGGACCCAATTCAAATTGGCCCTGTTAAAGGAGCCAGTGACAAGAAGTTACTCACCCTGTGCAGTAACAATGGTTCTTCAAGACATGTGTCCCTGTGAGTGCTCCACTCAGGTGTTGGTGCATCCTTGCGCTGGCAAAGACCCACCAACACCTGAGTGGAGCAGCCACAGGGACACCACTTGAAGGAAAAACAAGTGTTCTTACCCTTCAAGCAACAACAGATTTTTTTTTAATAGTACCACTCAAAATACTGGATCAGAGCAGATCTCTCCAAAAGAAAACCTAGAGCATATTTACTCAAAGAAGCTACTGAAGCTTTCCTATCCATTTTATATTCAAAAATAGCAGATACCTCAGGCTTCTTAGGATGCACAATCCAAAGACTTCTTATAAGACAGTCATCGAGGTAGGGAAAAATCATGATATCCTCACGACGTACGTGTGCCTACACTACAGCCAGGGTCCTTGAGAAGACTCAGGAGGCAGAAGAAAGCCTGAGAGGCAGGACTCAATACTGAAAATGTTCTGGGGCAACCGTAAAACAGAAGAAGCGTCTGTGAGTTGGCTGTATGATTATTTGGAAATAGGAGTCTTGCAGGTCAAGGGCTGCAAACCAGTCTCCTTCGTCTAGTGCTGGGATGATGGATGCAAGTGTGATCATCTTGAACTGTTGTTTACGGAGGTATTTGTTTAAATGGCACAAACTGAGGATGAGTCTCCAACCTCCAGTTCTCTTTTCCATGAGAAAATAATTTGAATAAAATTCCCTGCCCTGATTTTCCTCCGGCACTCTCTGTATGGTGCCTATGTATAGATGATGCACTTCTTGACATAGAAGTGATTTGTGAGAGGGGTCCCAGAAGAGGGATAGAGAGGGTGGGGAAGCTGGAGAAACTGATGTTAGTGGAATGAAATATCCGCATTTTATGATTTCTTAAGTCCCAATAGTTTGAGGTGATTGCTGCCCACTGATCATAAAAAGGGCGCAGGCAATGATGGAAAATGGCTGGATTGTGAGGCATTGAGGAAATAGAGAGGTCATGTAGGCCCTCGACCAATACCTTAAATCTTCTGCCTGGAGGACTGCTGGTTGAATGCTCAGTTATTCAGAACGCCTCGACAGTGGTTCCTTGCCCTCAAGCGAGTTTGGTGAAAGGGTCTCTGTTGCTGTGTGGCATATGAGAAGTCTCTGTCTCCAGTAAGGTGTGTAGCGTCTCCTGCAATATAGTGGAGTGTACAATCCTGAAGAACACAGTGTTGTATGGGAGTCCTTTTTAGAGTGAAGGAGTTCATCTCTTCCTGTGGCAAAGAGCTTCTGTTTGTCAAATAGCAAGTCCTCCACTTTGGTTTGGAGGTCCTTTGGGACACCTGCCACTTGTAACCAAGAGTTGCGTCTCATAACTACTGATGTTGCTATCGCTCTTGCTGCTGTATCAGCACATCCAGTGTCATCTACAAAGCAGTACAAGATGTGTGTATTCTTCCTGGACTATAGACTTGAGGATAGGTCTGTTATCGTCAGGGAGATGTTGCATTAGCTCAGTAAGCTTGGCGTAATTATCAAAGTCATGATTGGCAAGTAATGTGGTATACCGGTAATTCGCTATCTGAAGTTGTAGTGTGGACAACAAATACATTTTCTTGACAAATAAGTCATAGAATCATAGAATACTAGGACTGGAAGGGACCTCGAGAGGTCATCGAGTCCAGCCCCCTGCCCTCATGGCAGGACCAAACACTGTCTAGACCATCCTTGAAAGACATTTATCTAACCTACTTTTAAATATCTCCAGAGATGGAGATTCCACAACCTCCCTGGGCAATTTATTCCAGTGTTTGACTACCCTGACAGTTAGGAACTTTTTCCTAATGTCCAACCTAAACCTCCCTTGCTG